AATATAATTAGAAAATTAAATGCAGAGATATATTACTCTTAAAACAGATGCATCACTAATACTTTGCTTTACAATTGATTCAATGTCCTTGAAGGATATCAATGAATAGATAAAACTCTAAAGCTTCTTCCATACCTCCTGGTCACTAGGCTTGTTTGAACATACCTTTTAGAGCACAAAGCAAGAATGGTATGCAAAGAGAAGAAATGCACAAATTCAAAGCTTTAATGCAGTCAGATCATAGAATTAAGGTGGAGAAGACCTTTAAAATCACTGAAGCCAACCATTAACCCAGCTTTTTCCTCTACCTCCCTAAAAATCTAGAGACTACTTAAGGAGAGTACAAAACACCTTTGTTACAACCACTATTTAAAAAAAGATATGCAGAACAAGTAATTAGCAGATTATGAGAGTGCTTACTGTGCTACCTAGATTTTAAATACAGTAGCTACTCTTTGGACTAAATTTGTATTGCACATTTGAAGAGAGAGCTACTGTGCTTTATTATCAGTTAATTAACAGTTAAAGACAAAGTAGGTAAGTGAAAGCACTAGTAAAAAGTTCAAAGTACTTTAATTTTAAAGATGGTATCTAACAGCAACATGTACAACACCCCATAAATCTGATTTACACCTGAAAACTTGAAAGGTATTTTTCAAAAGGACTGCTATTCTTCTTATGCTATACTGCAAAAGATTTAACATCATCCAATTCCTGTAATTCAATAAATTTCATTGAATTATTTCAGGGAAACAGCAAGGAGTTATGTCTAACCTGTGAATTGATATAGGCAGAGCATAAATGCTTTGTGATTGATATAACACAGTGATTTCTAAGCAATTCCACAGGACATCAGAATAAGAAAGCATAAGCAAGTGATACTTAGAAATAAGAAGATAAGCAATGCAAAACAGGTTTAATTTAATACCAAGTGTTTCCATTAACAATCAAAAACTTAAGTGTTTCAAAGATGCACTGAACTCTTATTCTGTACCACATTCAAGATCTAACGATGTAAACGAGCATTTCTCTACTCCCTTCTGCTCAGATATTCTACTGATGTTTTAAAGATGACATTTAGCAAATCCTCGAATTTTAATTGAGAAGCTCAGTGCAGAGCTAAAGCATCTTTTCACCTGTCCATCCAGATTCATATGCACCATTTCCCATCACAACAAGAGAGCATACTGAACAGGATTATTTCAAAAGCAAAATACTAAGAAGGGCTCTCTTTTGCTCAGGGAGCAGCTGAAAAGCACATCATCTTTCCTTCAATATCAAGGGAAAATCCTGACAAGGAAAAATTTTATTTGCAATAAAATACTTGCAATTAGTTGAAACATCTGAGTCGCTCAAATTAGTATAAACCCAAAAATATTTCAGTCCCACTATTAATTATACTTAATACCCCCAAGAACACATACAGGTAGTTTTATTGTTATAAAATAGAAGACAAAAAAGCAAGTTAATCACGCAGCACTTTGAACCCTTGTGCAACTGCCTCAAGGGACAGGGAAGCAGAGCCTCTGCCTTCCTTCAGGTGTGCTCCTCAACAGGAGGCTTCCCAAAGCAGTAATTCAAGCAGTGAACAGACCATTTCTGTGGTGTTAATTTCAGTCTTAACACATCCATTCAGAGCCTGCGTGTTAAAAGTACAAGTGTCATGGTCAAGGACACACTTTAATACCTATCTGTCCTTGGTTACATTCTCAGGCTGATTTTGGAAGGTCTTGCTTTGCACCTTTCCCAACTCCCCAACGTCTCAGTTCTGCAGTTATACCAAACAAATAAACACTCTGAAGAAAGCATTGTATCTCTTCAATTCTCTGCCACAGCCCAGTGGATAAATGTTTCTGGGGGCTCCCCCACAACTTTATTTTCACACAAGCCTTACAATGCACTCTGCTGAACAGCCACATCCTGATGCCCTTTGATCACGTACAAAAACAGTTAACATGAAGGATGAAACTCCAGGGGGTCAGACAGGAAACATAAACGTGGAAATAATTTCCTAAGCATCACCTAAGAGTGATCATCCTAAGAGAATAAAAGTTTGGGGTTTTTTTGGGGTTTTTTTTGTAGCCTAGCTAGTTTCAGTGACTTTTACCACATGGATGGAGTTCCACTATGGCATCACTATGGCTACTTGAAGAAATTTGCCACAAGGCTTACACCAAAGGCCAGGACCTCCTTCTGACTTGTTTCTATTACCATATGCACTCAGCATACAAAAAACCCCACATAACTTATCTGAAATGTTATCTCAGTCTGAGTGTGCAGATGCAGCCTAGTGACATACACAGATTTAATACTGGGCCAGAAACACACACAAAGACAAGCACATTATTTCCAAAGATCTTTTCTACGCCCAAAATACACCATAAGGGGAATTACTTAAACTAGCTTTAAGTTTCCCTAACATAATAATTTACAAAAACAACTGCTCAATTTAATCTTTTTATTTATAGACACGGAAACATGTTTAAAAGATCTATTTTACCACCTCTCACAGCAATTCAAAGGTAACAAAGCATAACCTAGGAAAGCACAGTGAAATTCACCAAAGTCTTTCCTAAATTGCCTAAGATTAAAACCGGCAGTCTTTACAAACATTATTCTGGTGCATCCAGTGAGATTATCTGACTCTCTCATTGTGTATGCTTTCCCTATCTCCACATCTTCTTTAAACACTAAGCAGATATAAGCACCCAGGATCTTGTCTTCCACAAGGTACCTGATCAGGCACCAGAACATTAACATGTTTCACTGACAGACCTAATGAACACATAGCCATGGCTGACTGTCTCTGTTAAACAACGCAAGAAAGAATCATTTCCCTGACCCTCCAGAGGGATCCTCCTCACCTGCTGGCACAGAGAACACGGCCCTGCTCCTGGGAAGCCACAAGGGGGGAACAGCCTGGGCTTTCAGACAGGAAGCAAAACAGCGTTACTGACAGTGGCACTTGCACAAAGGGCTCTACTACAAGAAGTGACAGTGCCCAGCCTGGTTAATTTAATTTTCTCTCTGACTAAGATAGAAAGATGATAAGCAGAAACATGAAGCAAAGGAACCACCCTTCTGCTTTGGACAGCCTCGCTGTGTAAAGCTGCACTTGAAAAGCTGTATGCCACCATTACATTTTTACATTTTTATCTGAAAACATTTAACTTCAGAGGATCCTTCCAGCTGCAGTTACAACATTCAGAAAGAAAATTTTACACTTACTTCCCTGAAGACAGTATTTCAAACCCCAAATCTACATAAACTGATCACAAAATAGCAAAATTGCACCCAAAGACATCAGACTTTCTGGTGGAATGGGTTTTTTGTTTGGTTTTGTCACTTGGGGATTTTTTTTTTGTGGTTTGGGTTCCTTTTTTTTCTTTTTTTAAGGAAAATATTAAATACAAAGACATTGCACATTTTTAAGAATTACATCGAACTATCTACTGAAATATTTCCAACATGGAGTTTAATTTTAAAATAAATTCTGCAAGAAACTCTAACTTCTTTCATATTTAGATATGTTTGAAAATACTGCTGACTTGGTTGCAGGGCAAAAAATCACTTGTAATTTCCATAAATCTGCGCTCATATTTGAACATTCCCTTAAATTCAATTCAGTCACCACCAGTGTCCACACCTTTACCCTTCACCTTTCCTCTATTCTTCTTCATGCTCTAAACAGAGCTTCTCTCTTCAGTCACCACCAGTGTCCACACCTTTACCCTTCACCTTTCCTCTATTCTTCATGCCCTAAACAGAGCTTCTCTCTCATGAGAAAAAACATCCAAACCCAGACACTGACTGCAAACTGGTTTTCAATTCATTCTGACTGCACATTTCACTCTTGTCCCCTCGCACATTCCACGTCCTGTTTGTCTATTTTCAAGAGCTTAAGATATGTTTCACTTTGTGTTCCCAGCCTAAAAGCGCTGCAAAAATAGCTGGTGTCTCAATGCTTCCTTAATAAAAACAATTATTTGTTCCATAGCTTAATTCCTTCCTGCTTCTCTAGAACTGTTAACCAGGGAGTAGATGTTAAGAGCACACTGCATCCACAAGGTGACATCCAGTAATTGGTCTAGAAGAGGATCCTCTATCAATAAAAGTCAGAAACCTTTACGTTATAGGTCAAGGGCACAAGACCTTCAAAGGAGGGCACTGAGAGTTCAGGGAAAGCACGCCTTTTCTCACCATTCCCTCCCCTTTAAGCTACTTTCTAATAATGAGAAAGTATTCAGTCCAAAAAATTCTGGGTGTGCCAAGTACCACCATTCACAGGCATTTTAAATAACTTCTCACACTGAGGCTCAATTACAAACACTCTGCATAGCCTAAAACACACAGTATAAATCTGACAGAAGAAAAATTTCAGTATCACAAGTGGCATTTCATTGTCCAGCTCAGGTTAAGTATCTTTTCCATCTTCGAGACTGGCAGTATAAACAGCAATATACAAGTGGCTTTGAATTTCAGTATGTTGCTAAACAGCGAAAGTTATTTCAGTGCTTTATAACAGCCACTTTAAATACACAACAGCGGCAATAAACCACCCCAGTTTCAGCGAAAAAATCCCAACCATACTCTCGTCCACAATGATTTAAAGACAGAAACGTAAAGATAAGTACAGAGGAGGTTGCACAATAACACATGATCTTCCCTATCACATGCTTGGCAGCGCGCTCGCTGCCCGGCGATACCCGGTCAGACCCCGGGGCACTCCGGCCGCCCGGGGCAGCGCCGGGCACCCCCGGCACGGGGCTCCGGCCGAAGCGTCGGGGCCATCCGGGGCTCCCTGAGCACGGCCGGCAGCCCACGGGGAGCGGCACCGGCGGCAGCGGGAGCCGGCGGAGCCTCTCCCCATTCAATCCCGCCTTGCTGCCCGCCCTGCGCAGCGGCGGCCCCGCACCGGGCACGGCGGGGAGCGGCCGGCGGCCCTGCCTGCAGCCCCCGGCACGACCCCGCGCCCCCTCCGCGGCAGCGCCGGTACTTACGCTCGAAGTCGGAGTCGGACTCGTCGTCGCCGCGGTCGGGCTCCTCGTCGCCGTTGGACTCGGTCTGCATGGGCTCCCCGTCGAAGCTGACCACCCTGCGGCCACCGCCCGCCTCCTGGTCGCGGGCATCCCGCAGGCGGGCGAAGTACTCGGCGGCGAAGCCCAGCAGGTCGGACGGCCGGTGCCGCAGCACCTCCACCGTGTAGCCCTGCAGCAGCTCGGTCAGGCCCGGCGGGATCTCGATGCTCATGGTGCCGGACACCCGGGAGGCCGCCTCGCCTCCCTTCCTCCCACCCTCCCTCCGTCCGTCCCTCCCCGCGTCCGCGGCCGGCGGTGCCGGTGGCGGTGGCGGTGCGGGCTCAGGGCCTCCCAGACGGGCGCGGACCGACTCCCGCCGCTCCGGTCACACGAGCCGCGGGGCGCGGAGGGGAGGGACGGGACGGGGCGGGAGCGGCCCCGCGGCGCAGGCGCGGAGCGGGCGCGAGCGGGGGAGGCTCGGCGGGAGACGGGATGGGTCCGTGCCTGGATGGTTCTGCTCTCTGGAAAACTGATAGGCGCCCGCCGTTCTGCGCCCGCCGGAGTCGTTAAACCCCGGTCCCGGCGGGTTGGGCCGGCTGTGAGCGGTGTTGGGAAACCTCTGGGCCACAGCTGGCGGCGGGATGTGGGGAGGGGCGGAGGTCAGGCGGGCGCCTCCTCGCCGTCGCTGCTGCGGTTTTATTTTAGTCTGCTTTCACATCAGTGGCCCCGTATACTCGTTCCTTGTCAGAATCACAGAACAATTAGGTTGGAAAAGACCTCTGGGGTCAGAGAGTGCAGCTTTGACCAAACCACCGTGTCTAGACCATGACACTGAGAGCCGCGTCCAGGGACGGTGACCACCACCTCCCTGGGCAGCCTGTTCCAATATCTGGTCACCGTTTCTGTGGAAGAATTCCGCCTAATGTCGTACCTAAACCTCCCCTGGCACAATTTGAGGCCACGTCCTCTTGTCCTTTTGTCGGTGTCGTGGGAGAAGAGGCTGATCCCCACCTGGCTGCACTCTCCTTTCAGGCGCGTGTGGCGAGCAGTACGATCGCCCCGAGCTTCCTTTTCTCCACGCTAAACACCCCCAGCTCCCTCAGCTTCTCCTCATCAGATTTGTGTTCCAGACCCTTCCTCAGCTCCATTCCCTTCTCTGGGCTCCTCAATGTCCTCCCTGAGCTGAGGGGCCCAGAACCAGGCACAGCAGTGCCAAGGACAGAGGTTCTCCTTCCTCACGGAGCACGTAGGGTGTTTCCAAGCTCCCCCAGGAGCAGGAGAACAAGGGGTTTTTGACCTTGGTCAGATCCAGTTGAACTTCCATCCAGTTCTTGTTTGGAGTTAGATTTAGGACCTATGACCCTTGGATTCTCATCAGAATTATGTTATTAGAGAACAATTCTTTAGTCAGTGCAAGATTTTCACACCTTTTGGTAAACACTGAATAGAGCCATGATATAGTCTGAAAGGGTGGCAATAGTATTGATCTGATAATAATAAAGCGTTACAGATAAGAATTTCAGAAAAATTAAACACAGAATCATAGAATGGTTTGGTTTGGAAGGAACCCTAAAGGTCACCTAGTTCCAAAGCCTCTGCCATGGTCAGGAGCAGCTTCCACTAGACCAGATTGCTCCAAGCCTCATCCAATCTGGCCTTGAACGCCTCCAGGCATGGGGCATCCACAACTCTGCAGGACCTGTGCCAGTGCCTCGTCACCCACAGCACTGCTGATATGTGTGAGCTTTGGAGATACCCATTCAAATGCCCTTAAATGCGCTTTATTCAGATTTTTGCTTGTGCTTGTTGTACAAAACCTGTTATCTGTGTGTACAAGGGAGGTTTGGCAGATGCCCAGGGGCTGCGTGGAGTGGAGCCATGAGCCCGTAAGGTTTGACGTTGCTGGGAAGCTCATCTTGGGACAAAACAGACCTGTGCAAACATGACTCAAGGAGAATACGGATGTTGGCTTAGTGACACCGCTGCGTGTAGTCAGTGTACATATTTTTATTTAATTCTTCTTTTGTTTCAACAATAAAACAGCAAAAATCAACTCATTCTCAAAATACAAAATTTCGCTTAGAAGCCCAGATCTGGCTGAGGCAGCGTACTGTGTTTTGGTTTTGTTTGCTCGTGTGCCAGAGAGTCCCCTCGCTGATCCAGATGGTTCTCACTGCACTCGCAGATAAAGGGAGCCTGTTCATCGCTCTGCACCGAGGGCACTGCCAGAGCACCACATCCAGGGTTTTCCTGATGGCTCTCACTGAGGGAGGCCAGTTGCAAAGCTCATGGCACATAAAGGTGTTCTTTGTAATGCAGCTCCCATATTTTCATACAGAGTAAGATTACATTGTACATCCATACAAAGTGAACAAAATTTTTTAAAAGCACAGAAGGTAGATTTGCTATATCTCAGCAGTTTATCCAAAGATTTTGCATGAAGCTGTTTCTCTTAATTTCTATTTTTTTTCTACAGCAAGGACAACAGTTGCTCTATTGCCTTTTTCAAAAGATAATTGATAGTGATTTTTCGTTTGCCATTTCTACCATTATTATCTGTCTGATGGTCTCAAACATTACAAGAGCATATTTCACTGCTCAATGTATGTACTTTAGCTATTGACAGAACTGGTACAGAGAAAGATTCTGATCAATGAGAAAACTATGGTTAGTCTCCCCACAAAATTAAGATCTCTGACAAGATCTTACCTTTGCTGATTGGGTGCTGAAGATATTGCTGGTGATGAAGAGGTTAAAATGAAATTTAAAAAATTCTGCAAAAATGGTGAAACAAAATAGCAGTAAAAAGCACTGTCAAGAAGGTTTAAAGGAAGAAAGGGAAAGTCTAATTCCAAGGGAGTACACTTATTTTTCTTTTCCACTTTTTTGCACAACAGCCAGCCGCCTGACAATTGCCTGCTTTTGGCATTAGTCAGCTCTTGTATTAACTTTTAATGTTTGTTGATAATTTTGTGTCATTTGTGCCTGTGAATATTAATCTAGTTAGTTATTTGAAAAAAATGTGTTACCAGTAAATATTGTTAATTCTCTGAAGGGCTACTTTGTATTGGCCTTCTGATATTTATATGTCCCCACACAACTAATCAGCTTCAGGGGAAAGTAAAGAGCAGAGCTCTGTTTATTCTCTTCCTGAAGGTCAACTGACAAAATCAAAAGCATCCAAGGTCACACAAAGTGCATTTTCAAGTTGATTTATGCCACAGTTTATCCTGTTTTTCATATACCTTTTTTTTTTGGGTAAACATCAGAACTGAAGACACAAATATGCGAGAAGCTTGTTGGAGATCAAGTTAATTGTTACAGTGCCTGCTGTGCATACAGAGAGCACATCATACACTTTCTTTCTCCCTGAATTTGCATAACTTTTAAAATTATTACTGTAATAAGCATTCACATTAAAAGAATGTTAGAAAATAAATTAGAAAATGCACTTGCAGCCTTAATTTGATCCCCTTTATAATAACATTTTTAATTCAGGCACCATGACCAATGCAATTTCTTTCCTCTGGCTTCATGGCACATTCAGCAGCCAGTATGGAGTTAGATAAGTCTTGTATAGCTGATGAAGCTGGTCCCCACAGCATTCCTATCAAAATACATATATATTTCAGTATATAGTTATCCTAATAATTTCTTAGTGGCTGAAAGCTATTCCCATATACACCACGTGTCTGTGCTCCCAAATGGTGAAGTCTCTTCCCTTTACTCTGCCTGTTCTACCCAGATCTGTGTGACTTTGATGTGTCATTAGTGAAACTGTTATGGAGCTTCAGTGCTTGTCCTGCTCAGGCAGAAGCTGCAACATTGCCAGCAGAAAAAGCAAAATAGTCTGTGTAGTCTTGCACTGGGGAAAAATAATCAGATTAAACTTCCTGACTGGCTCCTTAAAAAGTAAAATAAATCCTTTTATAACGAGTAATAATTCACTTCTCATAAACCTGTCAGCACCAGCCAGAGCTCAGACACTATATAAACATATGTACATCTTGGATTAATTACACTTGCCTTCAAATTCCATAGAAGGATCATGCAAGAAAACACTAAATATTCTGATGACAGTTATTAGTGAACACAGCCTCACGTTTTCCACATCCCCCTGGTGCTGAAGCCAGTGACCAAGGTTTGTCACAGCAGCAAGTTCCAGAAGTTAAATACCTGTTAGATAAAGCAGCACTTCTTTTTCTAAGATCTGGAGCGCTCTTCCCACATTTACCAAATTACTCCTACTCCTGGTATTGCAGGACTTGGCAAATTATGTTTCTGCCTGTGTTTTATTTGCTACTTTGTGATTTTGTAAACCTTGATCTTCCCTCAGCCCTCTCAAAATTAAGGTCTGACAGTCCTAGTGGTCTCTCCTCCAAAAGCAGCTGCTTCCCCAGGATGACACGAAATGCTCCTTTCTGTAGCTGCTCAGCTTCTCTGTGCCTTTCATGAGCACTGTGTGCAGTTCTGGTCTCCACAGCCCAGAATGTGGGCTCACCCTGGTTTTACACAGCAGAAAAATGGTTCTGTCTGTTTTGTTCTCCAACACTTTTCCTTAGATTTTTTGGCTGCCACATCATTATGAGCTGAATGTATCCAGTGTTCATTTTAAGACATAAAGAGATTAAAAAAATCCCAATTCCCTTGCTCTGTTGCTCCCATGGCTGACCACCCTCATTGTAAAAAACATGCTGAGTTTTACATTTTAACTTTTCTATGTTTAACATTCAAATGTTTTTCTACCCACTGCTCGCTCCAGTTGCTGCAAATGTGCATAAACATCATGTAACTTTGTGCATAATGTACACAAACCTTCTGAGTTTGCATTTTACCAGGAGTAATAGTAACGAACAAGTGGTCCTGGGCTTCAAAACCAGGATGTAGAGATCCTTGGACACCGTGTGAAACTGCTACATGAAACTGCTTCTCCTGCCTCTCTGTGGTTCCTTCTCAGGAAAGTGCTAAACCTCAGAAACCAAACTTAGGTGCTCTAACCAGTAGGTTTGCTTTTGACAGTAAGCAAGATTTCATATGCATTTTTGTTAGCCTTTAGAGTGAATAGCTTGAGTGCTGTATACTTCAGCAAATCATGTGGGACTGTCTATCAATAGTACAAAGACAGGAGAAAAAAAAAATCAACCTTTTTTAAAATAAATACATATAAATAAATGTGTCAGGTTGAAATTTGTTACCTTGACACTACCTTTAGTCCATCAAAAATATTTTGGACAATTCTTAGAAAGATACCTTGCTGCATTTGTTGATAAATGTCAAAGTATCAAGTTGGGAGAAACATCTGTATAAATGTCCAGATTTTCATTGGTGTCATTTAGTTTATGAACACAGAAAGCACTGATTCTGTTTGTAACAATTACAAATTTTCAGGCAGTAGAAAACACCAAGCTTAAAATACCTGATTTTGTAAATCGTCGGACCTAGATGTTACCTAGACGTAAAAAGAAATACTTCTGACTATCATGTCATACTTGTGATGTAAAATGGCACATGTTTGAATCTAGATAAAAGTAGTATCTGTGACATAAGACGTGTGGGATGACCACGTTGTTTAAACTACCCTGAGTAACACTATATAGCAGATGTAGAGTTTATGGTTGCCACGTCAGAGGAGCCCTAAGCAACGGCCCTGCTGTGTAAACAGGGGATATTCAAATAAGGACTTAGCTAAGCCCTTGGTTCTCTTGCATACAAAGTGGTAGCTGTACCCATTTTGGTTGTACTTTCATTTCTGGCCCCAGCACTGAAAATATTACATTAAGACCTTCTCCACAGAGGTTGGTATGAATTCTGGGCAGAGAGAACTGGTGGGAACAGACCTTTATGTGAGCCCCATTGTAGCCAGTCACTCACTGGGTAGGGCTATGTTGGCCTTAGAGTACGCATACATCTGTAATGAATAAAGATAGAAGGTTTTCAGATTGCTTTGTTTTAAGAGAAGAAAGAAAATTAACCTCCCTGTAACTTGTTCAAAGACTAATCTGAATCCAAACTATCAATTGCTGTCTGTGTTTTCTGGCAGAACCTGTTCAAACACAAGTTTGTTGATGTTGAGAGGTTTGTCATACAGAGCTCTGAAATTTATTTCTTCCTTGAGCCTTTGCTTGAAAATCTGGAATTGTCTTTTGCTGTATGTACAAACTTGTCCCCTCCCCATCTTCTCACATTTCCACCTGACACAGTTCAGGTTATGAGCATTTCTGTGCTGGGTCCCAGCCTGCCACTACCCAGACATTTATGGCTCTGTCACTGTTGCTACACTCCTGTTTTCACATCTTCTGCTTTCCCCTTTGTAGACTGAATGTTATTAACCATTTATCACACTTGGCATTTGCCCATTTGTCACGTATCTTCGCTAGATGCTTGTAACAATTGCCCTTCCCTTCACCTCCAAAGTTTATCCTATATCCACAATCTATCCCTCACCCCATCTTGCTTTTCTCCCCTGGGGGGGCACCTTGAGCCTCCTTCCAGATCTCTCTCTCCTCTTGCAGCACCTGCTCTCTCTCTGAGACAGAAGCCACAGCTCCTTTGCTCTCTGGCATGGTTTTTTGGTGTCCACCAGAAGCCACTGACACATTTCACTGTTCTCAGTGTTTTTGTCCTGCCCTTTGGTGTTCACAGATCCATCCCAGGCACAGAAGTGCTGTACACAAACATTGGGCAATACTATGATGAAGGGCTCATTTTACAGGTCAGCATGGTGTGTTAAGCAATTCCAAGTGCTGGAATTGCAGTATTAAATGTAAATTGCAACAGTAAAAATGAGCTTTATCCAACAAATCCCCAAATTTTTGTATTTCTCTCTGAAAACCCTTTTGCCAGCTTCATTACAGCTGTTAGTACTTGTTTTAATTAAACTCACAGCGCAGTATGAAGATGAGTTAACCAGTTTTCAGAGAAAATCAGTAAGTAGTTCCTATTCTATTTTACTGTTATTCTTCACATCCCGTGCTTTGGTGTACATTATGAAAATGCTGGTAGAGAATTCTGTATCTCAGGGGAGGATAATGAAGATATGAAACTTCTCACTTCT